TAAATTAATTATTTTAAATGAGATTAAAATCGATAGTATTTAAAGAATAAAAATAAATTAAAGTAATTTCATATTTTATTTTTTATTCTTTTCATTGTTTTATTTTTCATTGTTTATACCTCTTTTCGTTTATTTCAGTTTTATTATTATCATTCCTATTTATTATTTGTATAGCAGTTTTCTATTTTTATATTACTCTGTTAATTCATTTTTGTTTCTTTTAATTATTATATTTTTTTCTTCTTGATTATTACTTTTATTTAATTTATTTTCTGTTTATTACCTCTTATTTTGTTTCTGTTTCATCTTTTGTTTCTAATTTTTATTATTTGTTATTATTTTACTTATATTTTAATTTGTTTATTGTTTTATTTTATTTCTTATTTTGTAGTATTGTGATTATTTAAAGAAAGAAAATAACAAAAAAGATAAATAAGAGAATTGAGTTGAGTATCAAGACTGAGGTTGTGTAGTATAGCAGAAGATAATAACAAATTGTTTATTGTCAACAAATGTTTTGGAGTCTTACTAGTGTTAACCAGAATTTGTGCTACTCAATTGTATGAGAGTTGGACAAATGAATTAATCTCATATTTATCATATTCATTCATACTCCATAATCCTCATTATATTCTCATTTTATGCATCCTCGAATTTAATCTCCTTTCAATTCAACAATTATTATTTAAATAAATAATATCTTCTTTTGATTAATTAATTTACTGATGATAAAATGGATAAGAAGAATAATGAACAAAGAAAATAAAAAAGATAAGAAATAGAAAATAATAATTAATTGTATGTACAATTTCATTAATCAACCATCCTCAAATTATTAATGATTAAAATTAACACATAATAATAACGATGAAAAAACAAACGTAATAAATGATAATAGTCAAACAATGAATGATTAAAATAAATATAGAAAAATATATTATAAAAATGTGTTTTAATAATAAAGTAGATAAATAACAAGAATAAATCAGAAAATGAAGAAATAATATAGAATAAGAGAAAAGATAAGATAATGAAATATAGTATATAATAACAAATAAATCAAGAATAGAATAATAACTCAAAACAAGTATAATAAAATATGAAAGTAAGAAAGTAACAGTTAATAGCTGTTATATCATTTTAATTGATAATTATTGAAAATAATAAATATAAAATGAAAATGAAATATTAATATTAAAAATATAGCAATTATTATATCTTGTTAATAAATAGAAATAAAAACAAAAATGTTCAATTAGAAGAATAAAAGGGTGATGATAACACCAAGAATAATAAACCGGCATGATGCTCCATCGATGTTTTTATGACTATTTAAATCTTCATCTTCACTATTATTTGTTTTATCATCATTTTTATTTTCAGGTTTAGACTCTGGTTTATTTGTTGGAGTATTTGGAGTTTTATTGTCTGTTGTATTTTTTCCTTCTTCTTGTCCATTTGGAGTTTTAGGTTTGTTGTTTTCATCACTTTCATTTGTTCCTTTATCATCTTTTTCTTTTGATGTATCATGTTGTCCATCATTTGTTCCACTTGTTTCTTGTTCTTTTTCTTTTCCTTGTTTATCTGTTTGGTCAGTTTCTTGTTTTCCATTTATTGATGGTGTTTTTGCTCCTTTTTGTTCTGATTGACCCTGTGGATTTTGTTCATTTGTTATTCCTGACTGTCCTTTTGAATTTTGTTCATTTGTTCCTGATTGTCCTTCTGGGTTTTGTTCATTTTTTACACCTGTTCCACTTAGTCCTGTTTGACCCTGTGGATTTTGTTCATTTGGTATATTTATTCCACTTGATGAAGTATTTGGTACTTTTTGTTGTATACTTGTTTTTGGATCTGGTACTACTCCTGCACTTTCTTGTTGTCCTTCTGTACTTCCTACAGTGTTGTCTTTACTTGGGTTTGTTGTTTTAACTGGAGAATCTGTTGGTGTATTTACTGTACTTGATCCACTTGCTGGGTTTGTTGAATCTGTTACACCTGTTGATGAAACAGGTACTGATTGTACTGGTTGATCTTTTGCTGTTGGTTGTGTTACTGCTTCACTCTTTGATTTTTGGTCTTGGTCTTGTGTTTTGTGTGTGAGGTCTTGTTGTTCTTTCTCTTTTTCAACAGTCTGTTTCTGAGAATGTTCTCCATTATCCTGTCTTATATCTGAAACTTCATGAATAGCTTCCCCCTTTAAATGTACATTATATACATTATACAGTCTTTTATGTTTATTTGAATATATCTGAATGTTTCTATTTTCTTTAATACTTTGTCCTTTACTGAGAAAAGTCTCAGTTGAAGTAGCAAGTACAATAAATAATAAAAATGTAATCATTGAATGAAGCCATCTCCAGTTCATTTCTTTAAATATTTTCTGTCTTTTCTTTATTTTATTTTTTCAATTCATCATTCTTCTTTATTTCAATTCATTTTATTAT